ATTTCTCATCCCATTATTCATAATAATTTGATGGAGGATGAGTCAACTATTAATGTACCATCTGTAACTGAATCCACTGTCACTGAGAATCTTGCTTCACCTTCACGTGTAACGGGATAAGGAGAAACTTTAAGGAGGTCATCAAGAGTTAAGAAATATGCAATTTCCATCAGACTATGTTGTGTAACTTCAAGAGTCTGATTTTGATATTAAAAAGTGTGATGATCCAACTATTTTCTCACAAGCCATGAATAGTTTGAACTCCTCCGACTGGTATGATGCCATGAAAGAAGAGTTGAACTCAATGGATAAAAATAATGTTTGAAATTTAGTTAAACTACATCCTAGTGCCATGGCAGTCATTTGTAAATGGGTCTATAAAACCAAAAGATACTGTAAAGGAAAGGTAGAATGACATAAAGCCAGGCTTATTGCCAAGGAGTTCACTAAAAAAGAAGACATTGATTACAATGAGACTTTCTCACCTTTTTATAAGAAAGACTTTTTAAGGATAATTATGGCAATGGTGGCTCATTTTAACTTGGAGCTTGACCAGATGGATGTGAGAACAACTTTTCTCAATGGAGATCTGGAAGAAGAGGTGTACATGAAACAACCTGAAGGTTTTGTTTAAGAGGGACAGAGTAATATGATTTGCAAGCTAAATAAGTCTATATATAGACTTAAGTAGTCTTCCCGTCAATGGTATCTTAAAGTCAACGATATGATTTCTTCATTTGGTTTTGTAGAAAAATGTCGTTGATCGTTGTATATACCTTAAGATCAGTAGGAGTCGATTCATTTTTCTAATCCTATGTAGACGATATTTTGGTCATTAGTAGTGATTTGACATTGCTTATTGAAACTAAGCATTGTCTCTCCAGTTATTTTGAAATGAGGATATGGGTGAGGCCTCGTATGTCATAGGCATAGATGTTCACAGGGATAGATCTAGAGGAAAACCTTATCTATCTCAAATGACCTGCATTAAGAAAATTTTGGAGAGATATGGTATGAAAAACTTCAAACCAAGCCCTGCACCTATGTCTAAAAGTGACAGATTAAGTAAGTCTCAATCTCCGAGAAATGAGCTTGAAATGGAGCAGATGAGAGCATATCCTTATGCATCATTGGTTGAGACTTTAATGTATGCCCAAATTTGCACCAGACCCAACATTGCATTTGTAGTTGGTGTATTGGGCAGATTTTCAGAGTGACCCAGGTTTGGATCACTAGAGAGCTACAAAGAAGGCGCTTAGATATCTGCAAGGAACACAAGATTATATACTTAAGTATAGTAGATCTGATTCTCCAAAGGTTGTTAGATATACAGATTTCGATTTTACAAGATGCCTAGATAGCAAGCGATTAACATCAATATAAATATTTTTGCTTGTTAATGGTGCAGTCTCTTGGAGAAGTATTAAACAAAAATTAATAGCAGCTTATACTATGGAGGCTGAGTTAGTTGCATGCTATGAGGCGATCACACAGGCAATTTGGTTGAGAAATTTTATCATTGGGCTTAAAGTTGTTGATTCTATTTCGAGGTCTATAAGGATGTTTTGTGATAATGCATGAGTCGTTTCGTCAATAAATAATGACAGGGTATCTAATGGTAACAAGCACATGAATATTAAATACTTTATCGTAAAAGAAAAATCTAATGAAAATAAGGTGTCAGTTAAGTACATCAGCACTATGCTAATGATGGCAGACCTTTTGACCAAAGCTATAGCTCCAGGATTGTACAAAGATCATGTAGATCATATGGGTCTAGTAAACAATATTATTGCTTGATGTATTATATGTGCACATTTGGAGACACTATTAGTTTATTGTATCACATTATTATGTTATTCTGCTTATTATATTTTTGTGGTACGAATATGTTCTTAGCAGAAAATTTTTGACCAATAAACCCTTGGTGATATTGTGATAATGAAAGGATGTATACTATTTATTGGTGTATATCTGCTATTATTTATATTACTAGACTCAAGTAATCAAGAATAAAGTTAAGCTCACTTATATTGAAATATTTTGATAAAGAACGCGCATAACTTTACTTTACCCAAGTATTTGCTTATTTTCAAAATATAAGTATTACTATTAATATTATTTTCTTTCAACTTCTTTGTCAATTCGGTCCAAGTGAGAGAATGTTTGAACCTATTTAATGGGATCCACAAGTGGACCTTAAATAACAAAGTACAAATTTGGGTTTTTGGATAAGGATATCCTAATTAAATTACCTAACACATGTTGGTTAGTGTCACACCCTAATTGACTTGGGTGCAAATGGCCGGTCTTGGTGACACCTTGCACCAAGGCATGCTAGAAACTGGAATCAAGGTGACGCGACTAAGTGGTTCGATAGATTGGGGCGAACCAAGGCAGCATAAGACCACCCGATTGAGCATGACAGCATGGGTGGGCTCAATTGAAGTAATGTGGGTGCAGAGCTTTGGATTGCATGGCATGGGTTGAACCCAGCATGCACATTGGTTCGTGTAGCAAGGTTGACTGGTGAATGTGGGCACATGGCTGCTGAATGTGGGCACCTGATTGGCATATGGCTGCTCAATGCATGTGACCAGGGGGATGTGAGCAGTTATGATGCTGAAACTCAATCAAGGCAGTTGCTGAGGCAATTCTGGATGTCCCCAGTCTAAATCCAGTCTAGATGCATGCTGATGAAGGGCAGTTCCACAACAGTTACTTGAAGTGGTGGAACTGCCTGCCAGGTGTTGCACAGAGACCAAGTCTTCTAGTCCAGTATGCTATGGAATAGCAAAAATGTAGGTAACTACCCCTTGGCAGATGAGGGTGTCATCTGCCTTCCTCTTGTATAAATAGAGGTGCTTGAGCATTCTGGATAGGAGAGAGTGTTCTGGCTTTTGAGAGTCCTTGTAAATTGTTGAGTTCAATATATAAGGTTTGGGAGTGTTGTCCTAGTAAATTCGTGTGTGCCTTCTGTGTGAGTTTCTGTCCCTTATTCTTGAGTTGAGTGTGGCTGATTGTAATAGCAACGCTTTCACAGGTAGCCTCATAAGAAAAATGAAAGTTACCCTGTGACAGTTAGGTTAGTGGGTAGTTTCCTTGTGAAAGTGGTGTCCTAGGTACAAAGAAACATGTTTAACAAAAAATCAGTTTCCTTGAAGTTACCTTGATGGGAGAGAATGATTACTGATTATTTTAACGTGAGACAATTGGTTACCAATGAGGGGGATATAAATTACTTGAGAGACCCCATCTCTTATTCACGCTTCTAGTATCTCTCACTCTCTGAAAAAATCTATCTGTAATCTACAAGAATCAAGTTTATGATTATATTCGGTATCTTTGGTATTTTTCTCGTGGAGATTTCTGCTGTATATATCTATCAAGAATCATTGTAATGGATCCCGTGAGTCAATGTTAGTTTTATATTCGATATGTTTAAGACCATTAGGTCTAACAAAATATCCTAATAGATGGAATTGTCATTGGGGTTACCTCATCATGCCTTTGTATAGGGGTCAATGTTATACGTGACAGTAACAAGTTTGTCTACCTATAATTGTCTCTGTTGTAACTATATTAGTAACAACTCCCTACATCCAGGTGTCCCAAATTTTATTGAAGTGGAGGGTTACAATTGACTACCACGAGAACATGACCGCAAGAAGGTCATGCTTGCGTTGCTCCCATTGTATGCATATTTCAAAGCCACCATTCCCTTTGGAACCACTTCCAAGTAGGGATGGCAATGGACCGACAAAAAACGGGTATTTGTCAAAACCTGTCTTGTTTGGATCGGGGATGAACTATACATATTAGACGGTGGATGTATACGGGAATACCCGTATAAACTCGTGCGAGGATGAACTTACCCTTACCCCTACTATACCCGTTAAATATATATATACTTACTTGGAAGTTAAAGTCTTAACTTACTCTCCTGTCATGTATGACTTTGAAACTATTAATGAAACATGATCTTGTTGCTTATAGAAAATTAGATCAATATGTGTTGTATCCCCTTTTCCAAAATAAACTTATATATCATATCATATTGCCTAGGAACTTGATCTTGTGTCCTTACTACTTTATGCATAGCCATTGTCAAAAGCTTTATACTAACTGTCTTAACTCATCCATTTTATTTTTAACAGAACATTTTTTGTTTTGATAACCGAAAATCATCCCAACCCTATACCCTTTGAATTCGTGGTTATACCGTAAACTCAGATTACACATAATCCTTGCAAACCTTGCACTTTGAATTCGTGGTTATACCGTAAACTCAGATTACACATAATCCTTGCAAACCTTGCACATTGGATCAGGTAGGGCATCTTTTTCGAAATTTTTAATAGAAGATAACCACTAAGAAGACAACCTTACAAATCTGTTGTTTTGCTTGATAATTTTTTAGAACTTGTTCTTATGGTTATTTTCAATTTATATGACCCAAATCCCCCTATTCTCCTTTCCTAGGGAAAAAGGAAAATAATGTTTTAAGTATGGTTGTAGTGATTTATTACTATCAGAATGCCATTTCTTGTTCGAACCATTTATAATTTTGGATTATGTTGACTTGAGTTTGGGCGGGTACAGGAGAAGTGGGGACAGAAGCGAAAATTAGAAATTTACTTGCGGACAGGGATAAAGATGAAAATTATATCCGTTAACGGGATAGATCAAAGATGTACGGAGTTTTTTTAAGCGGATACGGGAGTGGAGACTATACCCTCTACCCCGTTTCGGCCCACTGATATCTTTACTTCCAACGTCTCTACTTAGGTGCCTAATAACTGTGATTCGTTATCGGTTCAATGAATGTGATAAATTATATTAATGAATTAAATTAATTAATCGGGTTGAAATAGTATTATTACCTAATAGCGGGCCGATAACAAAATTTGTTCGGCCCAAAGTCAGCATCACTCGCCCACTCCCGCTAAGTCTATATTTCGAAATATCAGTGGCGCACTAGCAATCTCTATCTGTACACCGTCTCTCTCTAGGGTTCTCAAACTGAACTCAGTCATGTGAAGAAGAGATGGTGAGTGAAATTCAGAACTCCGAACTGGTGGATCCGCTTCATGGTCACTCCGGTCTCTCTCTGTTCCCTCGTACAATTAGGGCTTCCGCAGATGCCTCAAACCCTAGCGACCCCGACGACCTACAATCAATTCACGATTTCATGAAATCAATGGTATTCTTCTTCATATTTCATATCTATTTTCGTTCTACTTCTTGCCGTACATCTGTTTAGGTGTTTTCAAGTAACATACCTAGGGTGAGGATTTATCTATATTGTTCAGTTTTCACTTATTTCATTCACTAGTGAAGTGTAAATTTTGTATTAAATTAGTCTATTTTTCTATTTGTACGGTCAAATGTAAGTTCATGCATGCGTGTGTGTGTGTGTGATTTTGTAATGACAGAGTAATTTGAGCTAATTGATTTGCTTGGATTTAGTTATTAGTTAAAAAAAATTGATAGGAGACTGTACTGGGAAATTGGATCTGTTATATTTAGTTTGGTAGAGGTCATAATGATCACATTTTGTTGTTTGATATTCATTTTGCATGCATATGATATGAAAATTTATTTCTTTGACCCAAATGCTTCAGTATGTGTGTTTGGACATTTCCAAGATCATACAAGTAGGCCACACTTACTGATTTCGAAAACCACCTACTTTTTTGGAAAACAAATGTGGTGATTGAATTTTTATTCTATTTCTGTTGTACACGATAAGGGGTTAAGAAGTCCTCATAAGCTTTTAGAGAAGGCAAAGGCAGTCATCAGTGGTGGTTCAGAAGTTTTGAACTCCAGCTTTGTAGCAGTTATGCACAATGATGACACTTTTGCAGCCAAGGGCAAGGAAAACCCTCAAGAACGAAGGCCTGGGTTGGGCCGAAAGAGGGCTCGGTTTTCTTTGAAGCCTGATAAAAGGTGATGCTTAATTTCCCGAGCATTGTACTGTGTTTTTAAATATATTTTGTATTTACAACGCAATGGATTTGGCAGTAAGCCTGTCGTGAGTATGGAAGCATCTTTGGAGATTGATCATCTGCAAAACCCGGAGGAATTTTTCTCTGCTTATGAAAAGCTTGAAAGTAAATCCTATATCTTTGACCTCTCTGAGTACGCTTTCCAGTAGTTTGCATGCAACTAGTTTTTGCACTCTCTTGTAATTGGTTTGCAGATGCCAGAAAAGAAATACAAAGACAGACGGGTGGCAATACGACTTATCTAAATGAGTACAATCCATCCACAAATGTGCGACGTCGTCGACCAGGAATGTTGGGGTATCATCACTTGCTTTATTGGCCATTCTTTAATAATGCCTGTATTGCAAAATTTATTGTACTTTTATGTGTGTCTGTGTTTATACATTCTTTTTTTCTGTTCCAGGAAGTCAGTTAGTTATAAGCACCGCTATTCATCTGTTCTGTCTGAAAATAACAACACTTTTACATCCTCTCAAGACATATTGAAACAAGAAGTTCTCAGTCCACCTAATCCTGATTTACGAGAAGAGACAGCTGATATGGATGTTGAAACCCAGGAAATAGAATTAACAGGTGAGTGGATGATATTGAATTAAACAGTGAGCGCATTTCAATTTTGATTGGTTTTGTTCTTGATACTGTTATTCTTTCCACTGGGGCCTATCTTTCTTATGCTGTAGTCTATTATTGTCTATGCACATTTTTTTTTTATCTGATATCACCTGATAAAATGGTTGATAATTTTTCAAACAGGATCAATAGCTAAGACCGAGAGCAGAGTGAACGAGCTTTTGCATGAATTATTATCCAGTAATGATGAAGATTTAGAGGGGAATAGGGCTTTATCTCTTTTGCAGGAGCGGTTGCAGATCAAACCTCTTGATCTAGGAAACTTATGCCTCCCTGACTTTCCTGATACTGGAAAGACTGATTTTGCAGCTTTTCAAGAGAAGTTGCCAAGACGCCACAACTCTTTGTCGGATGTGCATAATTTGGTGAAAGGTATATGGGAAAAAACACCTGCAAAACATAAGCAAGTAGCAGAAAGCTCCATGCATTCCCTAGAGTCACCCACCCCACCAAGAAGTCCATTTGCTTCAATACTTTTGTTGAAAAAACAGATTTTGCAGTTAAATCCATTGCGCGATCCATTCTCACCTCTTAATGTGGATCTGTCAGCAACCAGATATCATTCTTCTGTAGAACACACAGAAAAGCAATCTGAACAGATTGTTATTCAGGAGAAATCTAGTACTTCTAGCAAGTTGAAGTCACTAGAAGGAGATGAAACTACAAAAACTATGGTTGCTAATACAGGCTTACAAAAGGTGATAACAGGAGGTTCAGTTCATCTACCTGATGAATCTTTGAATGACACCTTGAGCAGACAACGTGGTGGTATTACTTTCAGTCCAATTGGATCTCATGGTGACTTGGAGCATCGTGGTGGGTGCCAAAATATGGATGATAGGGCTATGGATACAAGTGCAAGTAGGCCTAATATTGATACTGATGTTCTGCCAAATGGGCCTAATGACATGGAGGAGAATGTAAGGCTCTTCACACATTTTATGCACTAAGATTGTAGATTATGAAATCTTGATACAGAATGCTGTATTTGTTGAGACAAAAATGCAGATTGAAGATGTGTTTCAGCAAGCAGTGTCCACTGTACAACCACCTATGATTGATGAGGGCTCTACTAAGTCAGATACAGATACTCGGGCTTATGGATCCATTGAAATGGAGGACAATGTAAGTTTCTTTACCCCTATTGGGCTTTATCATTTGAAGGGGATTGCGAAAGTAGCAATACTGACAGCTAGATTGTGATGTCCTATGAAAAAGCTGGTTGAAGATATTCTTCCGAAAGCGGCATCTTCTGCACAACCAGATGTCATTCTGGAGGATTCTGCCGTCGAAAACTTGAACAGCAGTCAGAGTCTGTTTGGTACGATTGAGGTTTTTTGCTTGGCTTTACAAGTTGTCATCCTCATAAGACTATTAGCTTCACTGTTGACTGAAGTGACATTTATGTGATATGAGTTGCTGTTAGACGACCTAGCCTATTTTACCTATCTGCAGTCAATTCTCTGATCTAGGATTTCAAACACATTACCTGCTTGTTGATTATCCATTGTGACAGCCATTACAGTTCTGTTCCTTGTACATCCATAACTAATTTCTTCATTTCTTTTGTGGATCATTATGATTAGTTAAACCCTAAATGCTATAAAAGCACCATCAGGTGGAAATCTGGGCTGACATAGTTATATGATATTGCCCAAGTCTTCTGGAATATGAAGTGAAGCCACAAGTGAAAATAATATACTCAAACGTTCCTTAGGGATGAGGTTACCGCATATGCTTCTCTGCAGAGATGGCTAGTTATTTAAGAGATTATAAAGCTTGTTGCTGGTATGGATGTTGCATCTTCTAGCACAGTTTTAGTAGGGACATTTTTTCTTTTTTCTTTTATAAATCTTCCACCAGAATGATTCAAAATAAACAAAACAATAAACCAATCACCAACCAAAGAAACTACATTCCCTTTCAAAAATGGAAAAGGTCGAATTTATCATACTTGAAGTGAAACCTAGGAGAGAAGAAATGGGGAGAATATATTAGCTAGTAATGAGTTACTTAGAAGAAGTTAATGTTGAGCGTAAGCTAGTGCACAATTTGTTTAGAGACATTCATTTTGACACTGATTAAACTTTTTCACTTTATTGTGGAATTTAGCGCCTTCTGATCCTTCTTTCTCATGTTGTGCCCCCTATTTAGTAAATTCAAAACTTTCCATAGTTTTATGCTCATATAAATCAATCCATTTGTTACATATGGGCTATAAACTTATAATACACATATAATCATTCAATAGCAGAGTCAGTCACCAAGGAATGATTATTACTACAATGGTTAAAATTAGGATCTTATCTTGGATCAATGGGGGACGCTAAAGGACAATGATCATAGAATTAGATTAAAAATCGTAAGATTCTACAAACCGAAAAGACAAGAGTAACAGTATATATAATAATACAAAATTCTTAAAAATATAAAAAATGCAGATATGTTACCACCAACATATATATGAATACATTGTAATATACAATTTAACAAAGGATGGGGACCGATATGTAAATATATATCAAAAGAAGATAAGGAAACACTAGTTTGGTGCATTTTTTGTTCCATTCATTCAAACGGTACTCCTTTCTTCATTAATCTGAAGAACGGTTGACATCTTCTTGAGGAATTGGAAATGAATCGTTGTATTTATGCTAACCTTCCTTATGACATGAATAAGACATGAGAAATTACAGTCAAGGTATTAAAGAGGGTAGGAAAACAAGGGTGGATTGTTAATCTTATGGGATTTTGTGAAAAGTAATAGGAGGATTGGAGTATTTTGATTTTAAAATTAAGAGAGACATGGACAACGGAGAGAACAAAAAAATCAAGGGACTATTGAATAACAACTTTGGTTATTTGACGTCCAGCAAAAAAAAAAAACTGGAAAATGAAAATGGAGGACATATCTAGTTGTAATCATCGCTGAGGGAGAAGAGAACAAACGTAACCGTTGTTTTCAACATGAAGAGAGCTTCTAGTAATGAGGAGCTTTCCATAGCTTTTCTCATACATCGAAATTTACTAATGAACTGATAACCGCATGGGACAATCACATATGTGCTAGGTGATTAAGGATTAAAGCAATAAATTTGGACTGGGCTAGCTCAATGACTAAAGGTGCCTAACAAATAAATATTACAACTTGGATTGATAAAATCTTAATTACGATTGAGATCCTACAATCCTACATGATTTGGATATCAATATATTAGGATTCTATGAACCAGGGATTTTTCAAGAGATTCAGTCGGATTTGAGTGTATTGGATTGTAGGATTCTATGATCCGGATAAAGATTTTGGTAACCACAGTCAATACAGCAATTACCATGCAATGTGTGCTCATCAAGTGATGATCAATGTGACTATGTGGGTGTTAGGAGCGTCCTAAGTTTTGTGGTTGTGTTTTACAATCCACTACCTCGTAAGTAATTTTTCGTTCCAATATCATTGTGTAGCCCTCTTTTTTCTTTTCCTGGTCCATGCATGGCACACTGCCAAGTGATTTCCTATCCAACTAGGGGAGTAGTAGGAGCATCTCCAAGTTTGCCCAAGTGTTACACCCTGTATCTAGCTCGAGAGATTTTTCATTCTTTTATTGTTTGGTAGCACCCTTCTCTTCTTTCTGGATCCCTTAATTTTTGCCTGGTGTATTACAATCCTGTTGATAGCTCTTAAAAGAGATTTTTCATTCTTTTATCATTTGCTACCCCCCCTTTTCTTCTTTCATGGAATTTCTCAAATCTACTGATAGATTTAAAAGATGAGAACAAGTTCTACTTCTGTATACTGGAATTTGGTCTGCGTTAATGATACTGGGATTGTAGGTACTCTAGATGACACATCCCAAATTGAGTGTATTCATGAGCTAGATCCTCCAAATTCCCGACCCTATATAGTTATCCTAACCTCAAATTGCCCCAAAAAATAGGTTACCCTAAATCATAATCCTAACCCTAATCCTTAACTCCAAATTTACAACTATTAGCTCATACAATGATGTTGAATTGTGGTTCACTTTGGCAATGAAGTCCTGTTTTCTTTCCCCTGAAAATTTTTTCAGCATGTACTTTCACCTCTTGTTATGGATAAACTGCTCATACAATCTATATTATTGGAATGGCTTCAATTTGTTGTTTGATAAGTTTGTGTTTTGTTGTTTCTTCGACAGACAAATCAACTCCTGCTGCAGTTGGAGACCATGACATGAATGTATCCTCTACGACCTCAGAAGTTGGTCAAGAAGAATACATTGAGGTATCCTACTATTGTGATCATTTTCTCTTGGGTTACTCTTACTGATATGCAAGTGCTTGCCTTGTAAACTAAAAGTACTAAATCTGTTATATCTACTTTTAAAGATTGAACTTACATGACGTAGAAAGTTTATTATCTGGTGCATGCCCATATTATTGAGAATCTTGTACCACTAATTCTGTAGCTAGTGAGTACTACATATCGTTATTTACATTATTTGTTACTAAATCACCATTTGATTGTATTGAAGTCATGGTATGGAAAACTCTAGTGTGCACCAGCTAAAGCTAACATCAGTCTGATCTGAGCGAACAAAACATAATGGAATCAGCGTTAGTTAAATGAGCTGAGCTCAGTTGATTTGATGAAAGGCTCCATTTGACACAACTGAATTCGGCACTGAAAAACTATTAGTGTAACGCATGGCTTATGGCTATGAAAACTTTTTCTTTGATCTATTAATATCTGAGGTGGATTGACCTCTCAAATTGAATCTTATTTGACGTTCTAGTGAACTTTCTAAGTACTAAATTCTCTCTCTCTCTCTCTCTCTATGTTTCTCCTCCTATCCAGGTACTTTCCAGCCACCGTTGTTCTTTCTGTTATAATAAAGAAGCTTTGGCAGGATGCTTTCGTTTTATTTCCCCTGAAATTTTCTACTTATTCTTCTCCCCCAATGAACTACTTACACGATTTCAGGAGTTTACCATGACTGATTTTCTTCATTCATGAATTATGAACTGATGCTGCTGGCACATTTGTGGCCTGGATAGGGTTCAGATGTCTTAAAGAAAAGAAATAGATGTTAGAGTGACATATCTGTGGCTGATTGTCGCATTATGATTTTTTCTTACATTTGGTTATACTCTTAAGATTCCAAGAGAAAATTAGAAGATTTCACGTCTATCCCATGCTTTATGGAGTGTACCTTTTTATTTTAGAAAAATCCTTTTCAATATATGCCTGTTTTGACTAACTTAAGATCAATGTGTTTGTCAAAATCTCAGAAATGTCCAGGTACATCTTTAAATAAGCAAAATAAAGCAAAAAGACAGCATGAGCCACGCCAGAAAAAAGCATTTTCCCAGAGGCAAAGCCTTGCAGGTGTTTATTTGTGCATCAAATTGCATTATGCATTGCTTGAAAATTTTGTTATTGTCTTCATGAAGTTGTATAACTGTTATCTCAACAGATGCTGGTACATCATTAGAAGGTGGGGTAAGACGAAGCAAAAGGATCAAAATGAGACCTTTGGCATATTGGAAAGGCGAAAGATTTTTATATGGACGCGTACATAATAGTGAGTATTTTCTCGTGTAAATTACTATATTGCACTAGTTTGCCATATGTGATGCTTTTGTTGTTTTCTTCTTAAAGAAGATTGCACATGACTTTTATGAATTCTACTTATAACAAACAAATTAGGGGGGAGATGACTTGAGAAGCATACTATCTCTATTTTCTAAGTTCTTAAAATTCAGATTTTTGTATTAATAAACTAAGGTTTTTGCCGATCACCATTCAGTACTTAGCTCCTATTACCACTCTTCTACTTTCTTACCAACTAACCACCATTTATTTAAAAAAAATTAGTTTTTATGCCCCACAATCAAGGATCACAATTTTATTTTGGTGCATTGTTTTGATTATCTAAAAAATGGAAACGTTTGAAAATGTGTCGAAAATAGAAAGAATTTAGGAATTTATTTCTATAACATTGACCAAAATACACTGAAACATCTTGAAACACCTCGACACATTCCTAAACTTTTGTGGAAACATACTGTAACATTTCAAAATACCACGAAGTATCGGAATTTCAATTGAATCATTGATTCATTTCAATCTCTTTGAAAATAGAAATGTTCGACCGTTTCAAAATGAAATTTTGATACTTGCCTACAACTTTCAATAATTATTTAAACGTCCCATTTATTAATTAGGGTGGGAAAGGGGTGAAGGGTGAGTAACGAGAAATGGGAATTGTGAATCCCGTGCACTGCACAATAATGATGCTAATTTCTTTTATAGGACACAGTTATGTGCTTTCTATCTTTAATTTCAAATGGTCAGCTGAGGCAGCATTCCAAACTTTACAATAGTTGATAAGTTGACCTTTGTTTCCCCTTTGAAATGCTTGTCTTACAACTTCATCACCCTCGCAGCTTGGAAAAACCATGAGATTCCATGAATTGATGTGATCCCATATCTAATTCTGGTAAAATAGGTTGAGTGGATTTATTTCTTCTTGTTGCAGGCCTGACAACGGTAATTGGGGTGAAGTACGAATCTCCAGCCAAGGGTGATGGAAAACCCACTTTGAAGGTCAAGTCCTATGTGTCTGATGCATACAAAGAACTTGTTGAACTGGCAGCTCGGCATTGAGATCTCCTTGTAACCTCTTGAGGATGATCACGATGAGGGAAAATGGGATTCCTCTATGGATCTTCTTGTTTACTCTATATCCAAATGAATGTTCTTGTACTAGGCAATTAGAATACTGCATGCCTTATTAGTTCTTATTAACAGAGGTGAGTAAACAGAACGAATACTTATGGTGATATTGGAAATGTTGATTGAGTTATGGAAGGCATTTTTGTTCCAGTAATCCTGTTAAAGTAGTAGTATTGTACATGTTCTTTCCATGTGCAATAATTTTACTAAGTCAAACAACTTCATGTATTTGTTCCATGTGTAATAATCTTAGATGGTTTACTACTTGTTTCTGCTCGAAATATCCTCAGCGAAAACACGTTCACATGGGATTAATAGCATCACAACATTCAATCTCAGAGCTAGAATTTCACAAGTGGTGGTTTTTTTTTTGTGTGCGCGCGCGTGCGTGTGTGGGGGGGGGGGGGGGGGGGTGGTGTTGATAGTATGGAAATATATATATATTTGTAGTGCTGATTCATTGATAACCCAAGCTCACATGATCAAGTATTCTATTTAATTTTGTCATCTAATACGTGAGGAAACTGAATACCCCAGAATAAAACCCCATGTTTCATGCGTACAAGTTAAGTTTTATCCAATATAAAACTACTAATGTATTTTGGCGGCCCAGACCCTGGCAGCAGTTAAACCAAAAAAGTCCTCTTGGATTGGTATTTATCTGTCTGATGATGGCCTCTGTTTTTACAGGTAAGCTGAATGAAATTGTATATATCTGCTTTGTCAGACTTGCCTTCTTTTTATGATAGTTTTTTCTTGCCGAGAATGTCTATGGGCCTCAAATCTATCTATGGAAAGAGAGTTTGGGAAATGTTCACTTATTTTTTGCTTAATTCTGCTATTTTGACTTATATTTATTAAAGTTTTTTCTTATTTTATATTTCACATATTACCACTCTCCCTGTGTCTTCAACTTTTCACTCTTTTGTTTTAACCATTTAACGGTCTCTTTTCTCATTTCTCTAACATTATTAGACAAATTAATCAATTTGGGAAAGAAGATGCATTTGAGACATTATTAGAAAAATTAATCAAATTGGAAAAGAAGATCTCAAACTGATGATAAGAAACTATTTTAACTACTAATACATCCTATGATACTCAAACATATTTCTATTGGTTGATGCTTTCGTGAGAATATTAATTTTGATGACAATTGGAAATAAAATTGTATGTGGCTCTGGCGTAGAATCAACACACTTTACCATTAGCTGCCAATTTCACACCTAATATCCTTTCACCCACGTCTGGTCACACTCTCTCATCCCAACTCATTGTACAAAAATTCAAAAAAAAAAAAGAAAAGTACGTTAGAAAATAACGTACGCTTCAAAGGACTTGGTGAACCCCAATGTGACATATATCGACAATCTAAAATGCCTATGACTTCCCGTGTTTGAAGTTTTGTTAGTGAATTTTAATGTTAAATAAAGTTTATTTTTAATTTAATAGTCGTAATTAACTGCACATTCAAATTAAATTTCCAAATCAGATTCAAATAGTAATTTTGTTTGGAGCATTAATCCGAGTTGACTGTATCTTATTCCAATTCATTGAACCAAACAAACAAAACAAACATCAATTTTATCCTAAAATTGTCCGCTCCGCTATCAATTTAACAAATAATTTAATCATATGGGCTAACGGGAAGAATCAGTTAATGGGAATCACAGACGATACAACTCGACATTTCTGTAGTCGTCTTCCCAAAGTCTTCGCCAACTAATATTATTAAACTTCTCTACATCATCATCTCTCTCTCTCTCTCTCTTTATATACAAGGCAAACACCAAATCTATATCACCATCAAACTTTCATTTCTTTCTTCTTTGCTGTTCTTTTCTTCATGTTCTTTGTGTATCCAGAAAAACACACACAAGCTGTCTTTTTTGCTTATTACAAAACAATTCATAAAGTCTCGTAAATGGAGCTCATCCCGGGTCTCCCGGACGATGTTGCCTTTGAGTGTCTGATTCGTGTTCCTTTCGATCATTTATCGACTGCTGCATCGGTATCTACAGCTTGGAAGGTTAAGATTGAGTTGCCGGAGTTTCGCCATCGTCGGAAAATCACCGGCTTAACCCGACCCATCATTGTGATGGCTCAAGCAAAGGAGAGCCATGCCATGAAGTTCATGTCCATGCCGGTATACCAACTTGTTGTTTATGAGGCAGAAAGTGGTAATTGGTATAAACTACCACCTTTGCCCCGGTTTCCCAATGGGCTCCCCATGTTTTGCCAACTTGTTGGGGTCGGATTGGATTTGATTATTATGGGTGGGTATGACCCGGTGACTTGGGAGGTGTCTAAGTCGGTTTTTATATACAATTTCATATCAGCCAAGTGGCGGCAAGGGGTTGATGTTCCAGGTGGACCAAGATCTTTCTTTGCATGTGCGTCCGATTCCGATCTGATGGTGTTCATTGCTGGTGGACATGACAACAATAAGAATGCATTGAGGTCGGTGATTATGTATGATGTGGTAAAAGATGCATGGACCCCACTACCCGACATGTCAAGAGAGAGGGATGAGTGCAAAGGTGTGTTTCACAATGAAAAATTCCACGTCATTGGTGGCTATGACACAGAAGGGCAAGGTCGTTTTGAGAGAAGTGCTGAGGCATTTGATATTGCCACGTGGCAATGGAGAGATGTGGAGGAGAACTTCTTGGGAATTGCAACTTGTCCAAGGACTTGCGTGGACGGTGGGGATGGGAGGTTGTACATGTGTCGGGAAGGTAACGTGGTTGTACTAGAAAATGCCACTTGGCAAGTCATAACCGGACTACCAATTGAAGTGATCAATGCAACTTATTTGACAAGGTGGCACGATAGATTATTAGTGATTGGTTCTCCAAAATTTGGTGAGCCTCACAAGGGTTATGTAATGGATTTAAAGAATCAGAGGTGGGCCAGACTAGAGGCTCCAGAGGAATACTCAGGCCATGTTCAGTCAAGTTATTGTTTAGACATATAGGATCTCTCTCTCTCTCTCTGTGTCTCTCATCTACACACACAGAGTGAATGTATATAATATGTAATTATGTATATATTTTGAAAATGACGAAATAAAAAGGATAGCCGAGAACTCAAGCTAGGCATATGCAGGTTGACATCACCAGTGGGCTTAATTAGGCTCAGCTAGTATTTTATTCTCCTTGATCATCTTACTGAAATATTTCAGTTAGTCATGTGCAGATACTTGTGCTGTCATGTTGTATTTGAGTTTTTAGTGTAATTGTTCGGGAGCTTAGACAAATAGGAAGGGTTAGCTAGTAACATAGTGTAAGGCTCATCTCCAATTTTTAATCCGTTTTGATTCATTATAAAACAATTATTCATCGTGAATGAATTCAGCTACGTACAACTTATTAAATTTAAATGATTATCTCACAATAAGCAATGATCAATAATCACCAAGTCAAGAGAGACAATTTTCCATAAATCATCGTTTGTTTGCTAAACATTTTCCAAAACCATGTCGGCCCTCTCCTGTTGAATAATATTCAATATGTAATTGTTACACCATGTTATCATCGTAACATCGTGTAACTGATCAATTATGAATAACTATGTAGGACTAGTGAATCCCATTAAATTGTATAACAATTACTAACTTTCACATTCAAAACTTTTATGTAGGATTAGTAGGGTCCACTTGTCTTATTTTTTTATTTATTATTGATCAATTATACTATATAATGGTAACGACGTGGTGTAACCGTTGTATTAAATATTTGGCTCTGGTTCTGCCTGTGTGTGTGTGTGAACTCCTTTATTCCTTTGCACATTTAACTATCTAAATGGGGGTAACTAACAGATATGGGTCTCCATCAGCTTAGGCATATATACACGCACATGGAGTAGGGAACTCACCTTGATCCTTCGCATACACATCAAGGTCACACAGATAAGAGTCTCCATCAGTTTTTAGGGACATATGAGTCACCGTCCCATGCACCCATTTTGAGATAACAAAATAACTTTATTATTTTTTCAAAACGTAACAATTGTATACTATTATAACAGGGATGAATTGTAAATTTAGATGTTATGAATTTGAATTTTAACAATCTTTGGTACTAGACAATAATAAATTTATCTCTCGTGACTGTTTTATTTCTGACATAGATGACCTGCTTTTAATCAAACTAAAAAAAATATTAATCAAGGTGCGCGTATGTTAATTCATTAACTATTGAACAAAAAATATATATTAGTAATTATAATATCACCTACAATGAGATCAATGCTAAACCTTAATGTCGAATCACAATTAACTCAATATCTATCATAAACCGTAGACTTTACTAACCCAAGTCAATATCAAGCTCAATGACGATTGTTTCAAGGATAATGTACAATTGTAATTGTAATTGCCATTAACATTAATTTATTTGCTGCTGATGAATGATGATGATGCCCACCAGTTGGACTTGGACCTCTTGGTGGCCGCCGTACTCTTCCAGCCCCGTTTACTACGCCCATTGGTAGAAACTAGAGCTGAGTCCGATTACTTTTCTAAGATTTTAATATCATATAGTGTCAGTATTTTCTATTTTGATCCCTTATTTAAGGGCAATTTTTTAATACATATATACATATCACCTGGTATTACCACATGGTGTGTGACAAAATCCATCTCCAATCGTCCTTCCCAAGGCTGAATCCGTGAGCTAGCACTAGCATGAAGTGTGACTATTACTAGGTGTCAAACGTGTCGGGTTAAACAAGTAATAAGTGTAAATAATATAAATTCATACATGACACGTTTAATAAACGAGTAAAAAATCTCAATACGAACACGACCGTTTAATAAACGGGTAACACGACACGACTCGTTTAACCCGATTAATTTTTAAAAAATTATATTAACAAATTTTAATACTCTACTTTTTTTTATTGTTAATTGCACTTACCTCAAAAAAGAAAAAATTTTAGTCAAATTTCATAAAAATAAGACTTGAAGGCTTAAAAAAAAAGCAAGAGGCCATTACTTTTTATAGGCAACTCAACCCTCTTTATCTCTCTTCATTTTCTAATGTAGGATAAAAACAAAAGACATTGGTTTATCTTTGTCTTTAAAATGCTCCTCATGTTCTCTCTTTTGTCTTTAAACTACTACTTTATTTTTTTTTTATTGATTTCTTTACTTTTTTGCTAATTTTTTAAAATGATTATTATATTAATTTTATTTAAACGGGTAAACGTGTGGTAAACGGTTTGACAGGTTTCACCAAAACACGACCCGTTTATTAAATGTGTTTGGCGTGCCAATCCGTTTATCATCCAAACCCATTAAGATCTCACCTAAATCCGTTTAATTCGCGTCGATTTTTTTAACTTTTTTGGCTTTTGATGTAAAAATAACAAAATAATTACATGTATGTATGAATTATGCATAATAGTTCATAAAATATAAATTTTAAATTTTTTTATATCCCTAATAATATTTTATAAATATAATAAACTAAAAAGTTAGGCGAAACCCGTAACAAAGTTCTAAAAAATTGGAAGAAAATCTCATAAAATCAGTTTCTTAAATCAATTTAAATAAGTTTTTTAGATCCAAAAAGCTAATACATAAGTTGGTAAAAAAATTAATGTCGAAACGGACATGACTTATTTTACTTCAAAATCATAAAAAATTACCTATTTAAGCTAACTTTAAATATGGCCAATATTGAGTGCAAAAAGACAAACGGGCTCGTAGAAAACCGTTTTTAGCTTAGTACCCTTTTTTTCATTTAAAGTTATGAATTTTTTGAGATAAATTACAATTTTTTGGGTTAATTTACAGTTAAATAGGGTTAAGCGTGTCAAAAATAAAATAATAATTGATCTTAAATTTTTAAGATCGATTCAAAATACTCCATTTTGTTATAGCTTAATCCCAAAAAAGTATAAAACAACTAAAAAAAAAAGTTATAAAATTTGATGCTCAAGTGTTACCATACAGTTTCTAGTTATACAAGAGAAACAAAACAGTTATGGTGTCCTCCACCAAATAAAACAAGCAAATTTAAAAAAAGAAAAGAATCAAGCATGCTTCGGATCAAGCCAATTGATTCCAGTGGGTAAATCAAAAATCCAAATCCAAATCCAAATCCAAATAGTAGCATCCCCACAGACTTTTTGAGTTTGTGCACCTGTGGATGATAAAACTATACACCACCAGACCCTCAAACGTATCAAACTTTTTTTTTTATTGCTTTTCTGTGGACTGCATAAACAAGCAAACGCAAAATCCGCGGAAGAAAACAACATGATAAAAAACGTGGTATTGCCAATGCTATGTCCTACCATAAAGTCTCTTTCTCTTTAACCCCAATATCCCTCAACCTTCTAGAAGACTGCCAAACAATTTAACAATCGACATTCTCACAATGGAATGGACCACCCACTATTTATATCTATAAAAGCAAAAAAAAAATACATTCTTCTTTCTGTAATTTATCTATCTACCCTTCTTTTCTTTCTTAACAAGTTGTGCTGTGATATATGTTGTATATCCAGTCATGGAGCTCATTCCCCATCTTCCAAACGACGTTGGTCTCGATTGTTTGATTCGAGTCCCCTATAAACACTTTCCTTCCATTGCATCGGTATGTTAGAGCTGGAAGGTAGAGATGGAGTTGCCAGAATTTAGACAGTGCCGAAAGGTCGCCGATGTAAACCAACGAGTCATTGTGATGGCACAAGCACGGGTTGACTCTACCCACAATCATGCATTCATGAAGTATATGACTATACCCGTTTATCGACTCACGGTTTATGAGGAGAAAACGGGTGGTTGGAGTGAGCTGCCACCAGTGCCCGGGTTCTCCGATGGGTTGCCGATGTTTTGCCACCTTGCTGCATTGGGGTTGAACCTGGTGGTGATTGGAGGGTGGAATCCAGTGACTTGGGAGGTTTCAAATGCTGTGTTCATTTACAATTTTCTTTCCGCCAAGTGGCGTCGTGGGACCGATATGCCAGGTGGTCATAGATCGTTTTATGCTTGTGCGTCTAATTCTGATCGAACGGTGTTCATTGCTGGTGGACATGACTGCAATAAGAATGCATTAAGATCTGTGATGATGTATGACGTGACAAAAGATGAGTGGGTCCAACTACCTGATATGGCAAGGGAGCGAGATGAGTGCAAGGGGGTGTTCCACTGTGGCAAGTTCCATGTCGTTGGTGGGTACCCCACAGAGATGCAAGGTTGCTTTGAAAGAAGTGCCGAAGCTTTTGATGTTGCCACATGGCAGTGGGACCAAGTCCAAGATGATTTCTTGGAAACTGCCACGTGTCCATTGACTTGCACAGATGGTGGAGATGAAAGACTCTTTATGTGCCGAGCTGGTGATGTGTCGGTGCTACAAAGTTCCACATGGCAAGTTGTAGCTGAACTTCCAACTGAGGTACAACGTATCACCTTCGTGACAGCATGGCCGGACAAGATGTTAGTGATTGGCTGTACAAGATTCGACGAGTCCCACAGAGTCTACGTAATGGGTTTGAAAAATCATAAGTGGACAAAACTGGAGGCACCGGAGGAGTACTACGGCCATGTTCAGTCGGCCAGTTGCTTAGAGATATAAAGATTAAAGCGTTTGTATTACTTGGCATAATTGTGTAGTGAATGCATTGAGAATACACCTTAATCCATCGGTAGAACATTTCATTAGGGCGGCCTGACAAATATGGAGTCTTAGGCAAAAATAATCAGTGAGTGAATGCATACAATATAATAATATAAATGCAACTAAATAAATATTAAAATATTACTATATATTAATATTTGGGTAAATTTTAATTGACACCTTTTGAAAAATAACCTAACTATATAAGAACATTCTCTATGATTTCTCAAATCTTATTCTCATCCCCTATAATTTAAATGTTCATTTCACATACAACCCCTGCCTTTAGGGACAAAATGACATATCCAAAAAATGATGATATCAGCAAATACAATGACAATTTTACTCTTTAACTATATATAAGCCTTGCAGTTAAATACTTGTATTCTTTTTTCCAAGCAAAGCTAAGCTTTAAACCAAACAACCCACGTGTCTTTTAATTTCATCTTCTACATATTAGACACACTAATTCTCTTTCTCTCTCTCTCTTTCTCACACAAACACACACCCACAAAAATTCATTCATCCAATTTGTAAGCTTGGAAAAATTTTAGCCTTCACTATTTGTCACAATCCAAACTTCACCAATGTCAATTTGATATTGAAATGATAAAGTTAAAATATTAAAAGAGTATTAAATTGATAAAATTAATCTTAATTCCAACGACCCAACGATCCTCCATGGTCACCTCCTAGCCATATCAACCAAAACTCTAAAATATGTGTAGTTCACTTCTCTTCTCTCTCTCTCTCTCTCTTTGTCCTAACCATGATTTGCCACCACCCAACAGGTATACCATCGAGCCCATCCCCACCATAGAAACACAGATAGAGGTATACCCCACAATCAAAAAAGAAATCCCATTCTCGTCAGAGTCTATCAACCAACAATATCAAAAAGAATTCGGAGATATAAATTTTTTGTTAAATGAAAAAATAAAATATGAAATCCCTAACACAATTGGGATTTAATATGGAGCCATTCAGAGCTGAATGATACCAAAGTTTTATGTTCAGTTTTGATTTAGAGAGACTTTAAAAATGATGAATTCATGTTGACTATAACTTCTAGCCTTCTATGCTAACGATGTGGGTTTGATTCTGACTACTCTCTTTATATCCTCTGTATTATATATACCTTGAGATAGTGTGTAATTGAGGCCACAAAGGCAAACTTGCGGAGTAATTCTTCTACGGGTAGTTATCAAACGTGAGATTGATTGATAGATTAAGATGATCTTACGAGATTTTTCACTTAATCATTCAAATTTTTTGATATTTGAAAATATTATATATAGTCTCTTTGAGATTTATACACGCATTAACACTTAAACCCTGCCGTCAAACTCTATTAGTAAATTATATTAAGATATCTTGAAGTTTGTAAGTGTGTAATACTTAGACCCTTTAAGTTTAAATTATTATAGTTAGACAAAAAATATTCTAATCAAAGATAGAATATCTAATATTTTAAATTTTACAACTAAAGTTCATGTTCTATTATATCATTTATTGATATAAAATCAAAAATAAAAATATATTTTTTAAAAAAAATCATAATTAATATATAATTATACTATCTTAAAACCCTCTCTAGATTTCGCAATCATCTTAACCACATTATTCTATTGATGGTACAAGAGTACTGATGGCACCATGGCGGATTGAATAGTAGAGTCGAAAAAGCATGGGCTTTAGGCCCCAATACAAAAAGCCCCAAATTTTAAAGTTCAATGATTAAGTATATATCAAAGATTAAAACCCATTATAATTTAGCTTAACAAAAAAAATTTATGAAAGATTAAGTCAACAAAAAAAAATTTAGAATTTAGGTCTAAAAGTGCAATCCACCTTACACATATACATTTATTAATGCACAAAAAAATGGTTAACACTTTAATAACAATTAAATAAATCAAACACATTTTATATTTCTCTCAAACTCGATTTTGTTCTCATTTAAACATAAAAATACCAACTAATTAAATTGTTCATTCTCATAAAGGATCCACAATAAAAACTAATTTAATATAAAAAAAGACTTTCAATAAAGTAGTTATCAAAGAAAATAAATACAACAAAATAGTAGGTGAACATTACATATATAAACAAGTTATGGATCATAAAAAAATTAAAAAATAATTCAATAACAAGATAACAAAAAATTATGAATACATATTGATAGTCAATAATCTAATACCACAATTTTTACAAAGAACATACAAAACAAATAAGAAGAATATAACAATAATAATGAAATTATATATTATGTTCTGAAAAGTGCGATTTAAGCAAGAGATGAAAGAGATAAACAGATGTGCAAATCTGTTTGCTAAAAAATGTGTACTTAGCCATGATGATCTATAAATATTTATAATTCATATTTATTTTACTATTGAACAGTTGTACTCAGATAGTACGAGTAAGAAATAATATATATGTAATGTTTATTATATATTAAATGCCTAAATTATTAAAAGAAAAAATTATGCGACACCACGTTGTAACATTAAACATATTTTGCAATGGTCCACGCATTATTTTTGACAAATTAATAAATGTATAAAATATGAAGTACCACATATATTACCTTTAATCTTGACGTGTCATCCATTAATTAATTTGTCTCACTTAATCGATTCTATAGACGAAGACTCGATAATGAGGCACAAACAAAGACTACAATTATTATGAGATGCACAAACACTTCGATCATTTGAATGGGAGAAGGCATAGCAGGCCCGACCATTAAAATAGTCTTCAACAACCTTAATTTAATTTTCAGTCCTTAGTTCAGCTTCATGTTCTGAAACTTTTTTGAATAGACTAAGTTAAAAGCCCAATATATTTTAAAAATCTATCAAAAACTTTATAGAAAGTCCTAAAATGTAACAATATTTTCCTAGGTCTCTTATATATATAAAGTCCTAAAATATAACAAAACCTTCTAAAAAAATCTAAAAGTAACAATTTCTAACTTTAAAAATAGTAATCTCTCTCAAATTTATTTTCACTATTTTTTCCTCCACTCTCACCATCTCTTTCCAACTTTGTCTTTCCCTCACTGTCATTGTCTTGCTCTAGTTCTTTGTTCTCATCTCTAACTCTCTTGTTGTCTTTAAAACTTCATTCAATTTATTAATCTATAAGATCTTGACATCACAATTGCACCTAATGTATTATATGATCCGGTCTAAATACAAATCAGTCACTCAAATACCACACCATAAGTCACTCAAATACCAGTCAACCCAAACGATGATATCAAATACAAATGTAACGAAAAAAAACCCAACACAAAGCATACAAGACACGCCCTAAGACATTTTAGGGGTCTAAAGCAAAAAAAAAATATTAATAATAAATTTATTTATTTATTTTTTAAAATTAAAAAAATTAATTAAGTTTTTATATTCAAATTTTTGTTATCATAACTGAACTTAATGGTAAGTGAGACAGAGGAGAGGATAATTGAAAAATTATGATGGTAATTTTGACTTGACTGTGACCACTGTGACAGGTGTGACCACTGTGATCAAAGATGAAGGTGTGTTACATCAATGTATTTCTTCGCAATGGAAGAAAATGGAACCATTACCGTTGAGACAGAGGATGTCAAAATGAAACTTTGAAACCTTTTTCGCACACCAAACCAGCTACCCCAAAACCAGCCTTCCCAAAACCAGCCTCTTTCCCAAACCAGCACCCTCCAAACCAGCCTCCTCAAGTTCGAACCCTTCCTTGGAAATACTTAGAAAAGTTTTTCACCCTAAGTTCTTCTACTGATGGTGGAAGAGGGCTGGTTGCACTTGGTTATAAAATTCACAGAAATGGTCTCAATAAAGGGGAAGAAGGAGGTTCGTCTGTTGCGGAAGGATATCTCTTCTGGTAGCCCTTCTAGTAGCTCTTCTATTGATGGACTTCTTGTCCTAATAAAGGGGAACTAAGGGAAGGGAAAGGGAAAGACCGACGATGACGAGGTTAAGCAGAAGAATAAAAATATAGTGGTTGTGGGTAATAAACAGAACGGAAACAGGAAACCCAAAGCTGAGGTTGCTGACAAGAAACAAAATGGGAATAGGAAACCCGAAGTTGAGGTCACTGACACAAATTTGAATAGCGAAAAGTTTGATGACAGTCATGATGATGAGGTTCCAGGTGGAGATGAGAATGACGGTAGTAGTCTGTTCGTGGTGGCGTTAGAAATGGCCCGTGAATCTTGTTTGACAATGGACCCCTTAAATTCCGGTTTATATAGTCTAGAAGTTTTGAAGAAAAAAAGACCAGATTATGAAAACTGGGTTGGCTTGTATGTGAGTCGGATTGTGAAAACTGGGTTAGTTTGTATGTGTGTAGGATTGTATTGGTGGTTGTTTTTTTTGTGATTGTGGACATCACAACAAAGGATAAAAAGTTGAAATGCTGGGTGGGTTTGGGCGATTTTTGGTCGAGGTGAGGTGCTGAGGGGCTGTCAAAGGGTATTGCTTCAATGACTTGATTGTAGATTTATCAATTCTTTTGCATTTTCTGTTTCACAGTTTGTGTATTTTGTGTATATTGATTTGATCTAGATATATGTTGGCCTACAAGGGTCGGATGCACTATGTTCAGTTAAAGTCTTTGCTTGATATTTTGAAGGTTTTTGTGAATTACTATTTTATTCTCATGGCCGTGGGCTGTACATATTTGTGAACAATGTTAAACATTTCAATTTATGTGATGACTGTATTTGGTTTCTTTCTCTATTTTTCCTTTGATTTATATTTGTGTGGGTGTTTTTTTTTCTAGAGGAATTGGTGTTGAAGTAGCAATTGGAGTTGGATGGCAGCTTGGATATAGGAGATTTTGTTTGAGAATATATGTTAACGTTTTAAATTTGAGTCTACTAATGGGTTTGGTTCACTTCCTAGTTTCGACACAAACAACTAGATTTTTATTGTTGTTTTTAAGTTTCGAACAGTGAAATTTGGCTTATATCCCTTATTGTTTGGCATATATTCTTAAAATCAAGGGATCTCATTTTTGGTGGTATTTGAAATATAATGAATTCATTGTCACTTTACGTGGGGAATTCCGTTGTGTTTATTGGTGAAAGCTTAATTATTTTATCTTTTAGTACAATTATATTTTGTGCAATCCTAGGAATGGACTAGGAAGGCTTTCTGGATATGGCCCATGGTGCTGATTTTCATGTGGCGTTACATCCTCTATTTGGAAATTCCACTAATAATGACAGAAGATTAAAATCGAAATAAGATAATAACGACAGATGATTAAAATAGAGAGAAGGAGAGAGGGGGGAGATATGAATTTGAAATGATAATTAATATGCATACAAAATGGACTTGACTATGATACTAATTTTTTATTTTTTGGTACTGTAGCTTTAAATTTTATATTATTTTAATGAGTGTTTTTATAATTTTTGTAGGTCATTTTATAATAAAAAAATTTATAACTTTTGTGGATATTTTTATCATTTTTTTTCATAAAAGTGTTAGGATTAATCACAAGTACTACAAAAGTGATAAAATACCTACAAAAATAATAAAAATACCAACAAAAATAAAAAATAATGGTACAATACTATTTTTTTCCAGTAGACTTATCCGTATGAAACAAGTGTATTTAATCTATATCTTTATTATATTCTCTACTTTTTTCTTTTTCTTTGATTTTCTTCCTTACTAAGTATTAGTGCATTTCCATTAGATCGGAAGAAGAAGATTTGAGCCCAATGATGTCAAGGACAGTGACAACGACAGCGACAACACGTGAACAAGTGGGAGTGGAGACGCGTGTCAGAATTTTGAGAATCATGGCATGATGGAGATGGATCGCTGACAAATGAAAGAAAGACGTCTCCACAATCACCATGTAATAGAGAGGAAACACGTGGTAGTAAGCCATTGTTAGGGTGCAACGGCTTAACAGCTAAGCCTAGAACCTCAATAGGAACATTCTCCACCACAGGACCACACAAATCGAAACCACCACACCATAGGTCACTCAAATACCAGTCAACCCAAACAATAATATCAAATACAAATGTAACGGAAAAATACCCAACACAAAGCATACAAAGCACGCCCAAAGACATTTGGGGGTCTAAAGCCAAAAAAAAATATTAATAATAAATTTATTTTTTGTAAAACAAAAAAATTAATTAAGTTTTTATATTCACACTTTTTTTATCATAACTGAACTTAATGGTAAATGAGACATGGGGAGAGAATAATTGAAAAATTAAGATGGTATTTTTAACTTGACAAGGGTGACCACTGTGACCAGAGATGAAGGTGTGTCACATCAATGTATTTCTCCGCAATGGACGAAAATGGAACCAGTACAGTCGAGATAGGTGTCATCGAAATGAAACTTTGAAACCCGTTTCACCCACCAACTAGCCTCCTCAAAACCAACCTCTTCCGAACCAACACCCTCCAAACCAGCCTCCTCAAGTTCGAACCCTTCCATGTGAATACTATTGATGGTGGAAAAGGGTTGGTTGCACTCTAGCCTCCTCAAAACCAACCTCTTCCGAACCAACACCCTCTAAACCAGCCTCCTCAAGTTCGAACCCTTCCATGTGAATACTTAGAAAATTTTTCCACCCTAAGTTCTTCTATTGATGGTGGAAAAGGGTTGGTTGCACTCGGTCACAAAATTCACAGAAATGGCCTCAAGTCTTTGGAATATATGGTTTGTGGTACACATAATGCGTTAATTTCTGTCGTTTATCTCTGAAGGAAGAGGTTCGCTTGTTGCGGAAGGATATCTTTTCTTGTAGCTCTTCTGTTGGTGGACTTCCTGTCCTAATAAAGGGGAAAGAGGGAAAGAGGAAGTGATAGACCGATGATGACGAGGTTAAGCAGAAGAACGGGAATGAGGTGGTTGTGGGTAAGAAATAGAATGGGAACGGGAGACCCGAAACTGAGGTTGCTGAAAAGAAACAGAACGGGAATAGGAAACCCGAAGTTAAGGTTACTGACACAAATCTGAATAGCGGGAAGTTCGGTGACAGACATGATGATGAGGTTCTGGGTGGAGATGAGAATAGTGGTAGTAGTCTGTTCGTGGTGGCGTTAGAAATGGCTCATGGTTCTTGTTCGACAATGGACCCCTTAAATTCTGGTTTATATAGTCTAGAAGTTTTGAAAAAAAAAATTGTGAAAATTGGGTCATTTGTATGTGACCCAAATTGTGAAAACTGGATTGGTTTGTTTGTGTGCCAGATTGTGTTGGTGGTTGTTTTTTGTGTGATTGTGAAGGTCACAACGAAGGTGAAAAAGTTGATATGTTGGGTGGGTTTGGGCGATTGCTGGTGGAGGTGAGGTGTTGAGGGCTATGAAAAGGTATTGCTTCAATTACCTAGTTGTGGATTTATCAATTTTTTTGCATTTCCTGTTTCACAGTTTGTGTATTTTGTGTATATTGATTTGATTTAGATATATGTTGGCCTACAAGGGTCGGATGCACTATGTTTAGTTAAAGTCTTTGCTTGATATATTGAAGGTTATAGTGAATTACTATTTTATTCTTATTATCGTGGGCTGTACATATCTGTGAACAATGTTAAACATTTCAATTTATGTGATGACTGCATTTGGTTTATTTCTCTATTTTTCCTTTGATTTTATATATGTGTGTGTTTTTTCTAGGTAGGAGGAGGAATTGGTGTTGAAGTAGCAATTAGAGTAGGATGGCAGCTTGGATATGGGAGATTTTGCTTGAGAGTACATGTTAATGTTTTAAATTTGAGTCTACTAATGGATTTGGTTCACTTTCTAGTTTCTACACAAACAATTGGATTTTTATTGTTGTTTTTAAGTTTCAGTGAAATTTGGCTTATATCCCTTATTGTTTGGCATATATTCTTAAAATCAAGGGATCTCATTTTTGGTGGTATTTGAAATATAATGAATTAACTGTCACTTTACGTGGGGAATTTCGTTGTATGGTGAAAGCTTAATTATTTTATCTTTTAGTACAATTATATTTTGTGCAATCCTAAGAACGGACTAGGAAGGCTTTTTGGATATGGTCCATGGTGCCGACTTTCATGTGGCGTTACATCCTCTATTTGGAAATTTCACTAATAACGACAGAAGATTAAAATCGAAATAAGATAATAACGACAGATGATTAAAATAGAAAGAGGGAGAGAGGGAGGGAGATATGAATTTGAAATGATAATTAATATGCATACAAAATGGACTTGACTATGGTACTGATTTTTGTTTTTTGGTATTGTAGTTTTAAATTTTATATTATTTTAATGAGTATTTTTATAATTTTTGTAGGTCCTTTAGTAATAAAAAATTTATAACTTTTGTGGATATTTTTATCATTTATGTCATAAAAATGTTAGGATTAATTGCAAGTACTACAAAAGTGATAAAATACCTACAAAAATAATAAAAAAACCAACAAAAATAATAAATAATGGTATGATACTATTTTTTTCCTAGTAGGCTTATCCGTATGAAACAAGTGTATTTAATTTGTATCTTTATTATATTCTCTACTTTTTCTTCTTTTTTGATTTTCTTCCTTACTAAGCATTTGTGCATTTCCATTACACCGGAAGCAGAAGATTTGAGCCCAATGATGACAGGGACAGCTACAGTGACAACGATCTTGTGAGCAAGTGGGGAATGGAGACGCATGGCAGAATTTTGAGAATCATAGCATGATGGAGATGGATCGCTGAGAAAGGGAAGAAAATGTGTCTCCATAATCACCATGCAATGGAGAGGAAACACGTGGTAACTAGCCTTTGTTGGGGGTGCAATGGCTTAACAGCCTGGAACCTTAATACGAATATTCCCCACTGCAGGACTATACCCAAACTATAATATCAAATACAAATGTAACGGAAAAATACACAACACAAAGCATACAAGGCATGCCCTAAGACATTTTGGGGTCTAAAGCAAAAAAAAAATATTAATAATAAATTTAATTTTTTTTAATTTAAAAAAATTAATAAGGTTTTTATATTCAAATTTTTGTTATCATAACTGAACTTAATGGTAAACGAGACAGGGAGAGAGAATAATTGAAAATTACGATGGTATTTTTGACTTGACTTGACTGTCCCAAGTGTGACCACTGTGACCAGAGATGAAGGTGTGTCACATCAATGTATTTCTCCGCAATGGACGAAAATAGAACCATTACAGTTGAGACAGGTGTCGTCGAAATGAAACTGTGAAACTCGTTTCACCCACCAAACTAGCCTCCTCAAAACCAGCCTCTTTCAAACCAGCACCCTCCAAACTAACCTCCTCAAGTTTGAACCTTTCCCTATGAATACTTAAAAAAGTTTTCCACCCTAAGTTCTTCTATTGATGGTGGAAGAGGGCTAGTTGCACTCGGTCACAAAATTCACAGAAATGGCCTCAAGTCCTTGGAATATATGGTTGGTGGTACACACAATTCATTAATGGCCTCAAGTCGCAGAAGGATGTCTCTTCTGGTAGCTCTTCTAATAGCTCTTCTGTTGGTGGACTTCCTGTAAAGAGGGTAAGGGGAAGGGGAAGAGGAAGGGAAAGACCAACGATGACGAGGTTAAGCAGAAGAACGAGAATGGGGTGGTTGTGGGTATGAAACAGAACGAGAACGGGAAACCTGAAGCTGAGTTTGTTGATAAGAAACAGAACGGGAACGAGAAACTTGAAGCTGAGGTTGCTGACACAAATTTAAATAGCGGGAAGTTCGGTGACATACATGATGATGAGGTTGGGTGGAGATGAGAATGACGGTATCATTCTGTTCGTGGTGGCGTTAGAAATGGCCCGTGGATCTTGTTTGACAATGGACCCCTTAAATTCTAGTTTATATAGTCTAAATTTTTTTTAAAAAAAATCAGATTTTGAAAACTAGCTTTGTATGTGAGCCGGATTGTGAAAACTTGGTTAGTTTGTATGTGTGTCGGATTGTGTTGGTGGTTGTTTTTTGTGTGATTGTGGAGGTGACAACAAAGATGAAAAAGTTGATGCGCTGGGTGGATTTGGGTGATCGCTAGTGGAGGTGAGGTGTTGAGGGGCTGTCAAAGGGTATTGCTTCAATGACCTGGTTGTGGATTTATCAATTCTTTTGCATCTTCTGTTTCACAGTTTGTGTATTTTGTGTATATTGATTTGATCTAGATATATGTTGGCCTACAAGGGTCGGATGCACTATGTTCAATTAAAGTCTTTGCTTGATATATTGAAGGTTCTTCTGAATTACTATTTTATTCTCATGACCATGGGTTGTACATATCTGTGAACCATGTTAAACATTTCAATTGATGTGACGACTGCATTTGATTTCTTTCTGGATATGGTCCATGGTGTCGACTTTCATGTGGCGCTACATTCTCTATTTGGAGATTCCACTAATAATGACAGAAGATTAAAATCAAAATAAGATAATAACGGCAGATGATTAAAGTAGAGAAAGGGGGAGATATGATTGAAATGATAATTAATATGCATATAAAATGGACTTGACTATGGTACTAATTGTTTTATTTTTTTGGAACTGTAGCTTTAAATTTTATATTATTTTAATAAGTGTTTTTATAATTTTTGTAGGTCCTTTTGTAATAAAAAAATTTATAACTTTTGTGAATATTTTTATCATTTTTGTCATAAAAATGTTACGATTAATTGCAAGTACTACAAAAGTGATAAAATACCTACAAAAATAATAAAAATACCACCAAAAATAATAAATAATGGTACGATACTACTTTTTTTCCTAGTAGGCTTATTTGTATGAAACAAGTGTATTTAATATGTATATTTATTATATTCTCCACTTTTTCTTCTTCTTTGATTTTCTTCTCAAGTTTTAATGCATTTCCATTAGACCAAAAGAAAAAGATTTAAACCCAATGATGACGGGGATGGGACAGCGACAACATGTGAACAAGTGGGGAGTGGAGACGCGTGGCAGAATTTTGAGAATCATGGCATGATGGAGATGAATTGTTGACAGAGGGAAAAAAGACGTCTCCACAGTCACCATGCAATGGAGAGGAAACACGTGATAGCCAACCATTGCTGGGGTGCAACGGCTTAACAGCTATGCCTAGAACCTCAATATGAATATTCTCCACCACAGTACCATACTAATCGAAACCATCACGCCATAAGTCACTCAAATACCAGTAAACCTAAATGATATTATCAAATACAAATGTAACGAAGCAAAAAAAAAATATTAATAATAAAAAAATTAATTAAGTTTTTATATCCAAACTTTTTGTTATCATAACTGAACTTATTGGTAAATGAGATAGGGAGAGAGAATAATTGAAAAATTACGATGGTAATTTTGACTTGACTTGATTGTGACCATTGTGATAGAGATGACGGTGTGTCCCATTAGTGTATTTCATCGCAATAGACGGAAATGGAACCATAACCGTTGACACAGGGGTTGTCAAAATGAAACTTTGAAACCCGTTTCACCCATCAAACTAGCCACCTCAAAAACCAGCCTCCCCAAAACAAGCCTTCTCTAAGTCAACACCCTCTAATCCAGCCTCCTTAAACTAGCACCCTGCAAAGCAGCCTTCAAACCCTTCCCTTGGAATACTTAGAAAAGTTTTTCAACCTAAGTTCTTCTATTGATGGTGGTAGATATGATTGGTGGTACACACAAAGCGTTAATTTCTACCATTTTATCTCTAAAAAGGAGGTTCGCCTGTTGTAGAAGGATATCTCTTCTGGTAGCTCTTCTGTTGGTGTCCTGTCCTAATAAAGGGGAAGGGGAAGACCGACCATGACGAGGTTAAGCAGAAGAATGGGAATGAGGTGGTTGTAGGTAAGAAATAGAATGGGAATGGGAAACCCGAAGCTAAGGTTGCTGACAAGAAATAGAACGAGAAGCCCGAAGCTGAGGTTGTTGACACAGATCTGAATAGTGGGAAGTTCGGTGAAGGACATGATGATGAGGTTCCAGATGGAGTTGAGAATAGTGGTAGCAGTCTGTTTGTGGTGGCGTTAGAAATGGCCCGTGGATCTTGTCCAGAAATGGACCCATTAAATTCTGATTTATATAGTCTAGAAGTTTTGAAAAAAAAAAACAAATTGGGTTGGTTTGTATGTGTGTCGGATTGTGTTGGTGGTTTTTTTTTTGTGTTATTGTGGAGGTCACAACGAAGGTGAAAAAATTGATATGTTGGGTGGGTTTGGGCGATTGCTAGTGGAGGTGAGGTGCTGAGAGACTGTCAAAGGGTATTGCTTCAATGACCCGATTGTGGATTTATCAATCTTTTGCATTTCCTGTTTCACAGTTAAAATAGAGAGAGGGAGATATGAATTTGAAATGATAATTAATATGCATATAAAATAGACTTGACTACGGTACTGAATTTTTTTTTTTGGTACTATAGCTTTAAATTTTATATTATTTTAATGAGTTTTTTTGTAATTTTTGTAGATCCTTTTGTAATAAAATTTTTTTATAACTTTTGTGGATATTTTTATCATTTTTGTTATAAAAATATTGGGATTAATTGCAAGTACTATAAAAGTGATAAAAACATCTACCAAAATAATGAAAATATCAACAAAAATAATAAATAATGGTACGATACCATTTTTTTCCCAGTAGGCTTATCCGTTAGACTAGAAGAAGAAGATTTGAACTCAATGATGACGGGGACAGCGAAAGCGACGACACGTGAATAAGTGGGGAATGAAGACGCGAGAGAAAATTTTGAGAATCATGGTATGATGGAGACGTATCGCTAACAAAAGAAGAAAGACGTCTCCACAATCACCATGCAATGGAGAGGAAACACGTGGTAGCCAACCATTGCCGAGGTGAAACGACTTAACAGTTGTGTCTGGAACCTCAATATAAATATTCTCCACCACATGACCATTCTAACTGAAACCACCACACCATAAGTCACTCAAATGCCAGAAAATCCAAACAATAATATCAAATACAAATGTAACGGAAAAAGCCAACACAAAGCATACAAGGCACGCCCTAAGACATTTTGGGATCTAAATCAAACAAAAATATTAATAATAAATTTATTTATTTACTTTTTAAAATTAAAAAAATTAATTAAGTTTTTATATTTAAACTTTTGTTATCATAACTGAACTTAATGGTAAGAGAGAGGGAAAGAAAATAATTGAAAAATTACGATGGTAGTTTTAAATTTGGCTTTTTTAGGGGGTTAAGAGTTGTTTTTAGTAGTTTTTTAGTTTTATTGTTTATTTTTTTCCTTTTATTTTCAAAAATTTAAATTTTAGGGCCTTTAGTTTCATCGGCTAAATTATTAAGCCCAATCCACTCCAGTTAACATTGTTCACAGATCTCTCATGAATTCCACTTCCTATAACAACTATAGAAGTATAAACTAGAAGAAGGTTAAATCAATAGACATTAACGAACCATCTTTAATGGATGTTTGCATATGACATGATCAATTCGACTCTAAGATCCAGTATTAACACTAATAAAAATTGCTTACTCTCCTAATAATAGTGAAGGAAAAAGATAGGACTTTTTTCAAAATTACGGTAGACGGGCCTCATGGGATCTATGCCGGCCGTCAGAGTCCAAATCAAAGGAAGGTCGAAGGACAATTCGATCAAGTCAAATATGTGTCAAATTTACAAAATATCAAGCATAAGAAGCAAATGATTGGACAAATTAAATTACCTTCAAACTCCTCCAAAATCTTTGGGATTGATTTAAATCCTTTCCAACAACATATTTCTTCCTTGATCGACCAGAAGCGATCTCAGTTTTGCTATAACTATAGTCAATGAAATAAACTAAAGAGAAGTAGAAGATATAACGAAGGCCAATTGTAAAAACAGCTTGTTGTTGCACTGCTTTTAAAAAACAAAAAAAACAACTTGTAATGCAACTTGGATCTAATTTATTAATTTACTTATACCTAATTACATGTAGTCATTGGATTAACAATAAAATCTAATATTTTTTTAGATTTACTATCAATTCAATAATTATGATATAGTACATCAGTAAATTAAGTCTAAATAATATTAATGAATAAACTTTACCATTGTCAATCGTGACTTATTTTTGCTCGCATCATTTTCGATTATTATCGTGTTTGTGTCAATATATCTTATTTATTAAATATTATTTAGTTTTTACAAAAACTTATATGATTTTATAGAAAAAATTAAAATATTTATTTTCTACTTGTCGTACCATGTGACTGTGTTCATTATGTCTAATTTTAATATAATCTATTTATTAAATTGAGACCCATATAGTCAAGCGTGCCTATTACCATTTGGCCTTCGATCCTCAGTTTGAAATTTCCACAAATGGCGACATAAGATTAAATTTGAAGCATAAAAAAAGACAAAAAATTGAATTTAAGATGACTCACATACGAGACAAATATACCTATTATGAAAAGGTAGACATTCGATTAATTATAATATGACCTAAAAAAATTATATTGTCAACAAACCCAAAAACTTATCTCTTAACTAACGAAACTTATAAAAACTCAACATACGGTAACAAAAACTTATACCACTTACAATATTTTATTCATTATATAAGTCAACTAGTCATAACTCGTACCTGAAAATATGATAAAATATAAAATTTGAGCGTTCAAAAAATTGATCCCATTATACTAAATAACAATTTTTTATTTTTCTATTTATTTGATTACATCATTTAAAATTAACTTTTACCTATTATTTTTTAAAAAATATCATCAAAATTTTGTCAAAATACATAACTCAATAAA